TATAGGTTTTGTTGCGCAAACAAAAGCGAATGGCATAGAAAATGAACTTCAGTTTCAATTGTTCTTTTAGAACAAGAAAGCAAATCAGAGCCATTAAATTATGAAGCATTCATCTAATAAGTAGATTTCGATTATAAGGTTGATTTCCAAGAAATAAGGTAGATGAAATGATATTTCACTCTCAAAAACTGGTGCAACTTATAGTTTTGAAACCTCTTTTGTTCAATAAGATAAAGATTTTTTTAAAGCTAACTTACTAAACAGAGCAGCTTCCTTATTCGTTAGGCCAATCACAGAGGTTTTCTTAGGCGCATGAGCAATCATCTCATCCGGATGTTGGAGAAACTCCCCATCAATCACTGCACCCCATTTCACAAATCTGAGTCCTTTCTTTGTCGTACCATAAAATGTAAATTGAACATTTGTTCACACAGTCTTGTTCTAGAAGTTGTATATTTAGATCACCCACTATGCTTTTGACGGCATCATCAGTCTCTTTCGCAGTTTTTTGTTTCATGCATTCTTTGATATTAGCATCACATCCCAGTACCTTAAATGTCGAAATACAATTTTAAAGAGGAACCATTGAATTTTACCTGCCTTAGCTAATTCTAAAGAGTTGTTTACTACGCTTGCTCCAATTGCCCACGAACCATAGGGAGAGCCCGACATCTCGATGGATTGAGCAATGTAATCTAAAAACAAAGTAGCAAAGTTACTGTAAGAGTTATCTATTTGCAAACAAATTGACACGCGCCTTTGCCAATCGCTTACCTCGACTTATTGGGCTTAAAATGAGTTGACCAGTAGCTGCAGAACCTGCGCTATGACCCCATACGGTGATACGTGAAGCGTCTCCACCAAAATTCTTAGCATTTGTGTGAACAAACTGTAATAAAAGATATAAAACTGCTGATTTGGTTGAATTATCAAATTAATTGCAAGCATCTACCTTCAGAGCTTCTGCCATGTCGAATAATCCTAAATTTCCTGGTATGCGCTGATCACCAGTGGAGAAAAATCCTCAACAAAATTATTCTATGCAGATATTGGCGTATTTTCTGCTACAGGAACTTCAGGTTGTTTCAAGGTTAACGGTACGATAGCACATATCTATTACATTTAGAGAAATCAAAAAAAAATGTTTGAAAAAGTGACAAGTGCTAATTTTTAAAAAAATGATGAGGTTCTTGACACAGCCAAAAGTCAGACAGATCAGCCTTTTAACAAAGTAAAAGCGTTCTAATAAGGATAATTTGCTAGTTTAACTGGATCTTTGCAATCCTTTGGTCTCAGTTGTTGATTCTTAATCGCGAGTAATGGAGGGATTATCTATTACCGTAAACGCCAAGCCGATATTGTATTGAAATCACTATAATTCCTCTGGTCGCGTACATGTTGACGAAGCCTTCGTAACCAAATTGTTTGGCCGAGCCGACTTCATAGGCGCCGCCATGTATCCAAAGAAGAATTGGAAGATTTGTGACCTGATTCTGTAAGAGAAGAAAGAGAATACCTATGGAGTTTAAAGGAGAAGGATGTTTTACTCGCATTTCTTTTTGGCCGAATAATGTTGAGCGTAAGACAATCTTCGCTCGTCTGCTCCATCGTCTCCAACTGACGACATTCTGGTCCAATCACTGTACCATTTCGAACATCCTCCCAAGGGGCCACAGGTTGAGGTTTCTAAAAAGCCTACTTTATTTTGATTCACTATTATTCAGAAACTTGACTTTACTTCAAACCTTAGCTCGCCAATAGGAGGTGAAGCATAAGGTATACTGAGGAAAACTTCTACAGTTTCCTTATTTTTTGTTCGATAATCGAATCCTTGCACTTTTCCTGGTTCTAG